TATAATGTTAAATGTAGCTGCAAAAATATTTCTTTCTGAAATGTGCAGAAGCAGCAGCTTTTTTTTTTTTTGCTTAAGAGTTAAAAATGATGGCATGAATGTATTCCGCTGAGAATAATTAAATGACAACGACTAGCTAAAAGGGAATCAGGTACTGCAACAGCAGTGCTTCAGTTATGAGTTGGGTGAGATACATGGTTCGAACAGGCCTATGTGGCAAAAGCAAGAAATAAGCAAGACAGCACCAACTAAATTGAAAGCATATGCTTCAGCAGTGATCCATATTAATCAAAGAAAGAATTATCAATGTTTTATTAGTCTCACAACATCATTTCCAATAATATCTCCTTGATAAGGTGCAACATTGAGGGTGCCATAATCCAGGAAAATGCCACATGGATTCAAAAACATCATAAATTTAAGCTCTATTTTGTAGTAAATTCCTCTGACATGATTTTCATGCAACATGAAAATGATTCTAAATTTTAAAGTTTAGAGAGCCTCTGTGGTGTAGTGGTGAAAAGTATCTGGAGTAGGATTACCCAGGTTCAAACCCAGCTTGCTATGAACTGACTGGGTGACTGTGGGCAAGACACACACTCTCACCCTGACTTACCCTCACAGGATTGTTGTGAAGGTAAAATGGAGAAGCATTTGTGCTACCCTCAGCTTCTTTGAAGAAGGTTGGGCTTAAATGTACGAAAGGAAAATAAATTTCTCCACCCATGGTGAAAGCATGCTGAAATGTTTTCTTGACTACCAGCAGCAATGGTCTAAAATGGTCTTTTATTTAACGATTAATCAATGCCTGAGTGCACATAACCCCACATGTTTTCTGATAACTACTGTGTTTCAAGCAGATGTTCCTTGTTTAATTCCAAGGGGTATTCAATAGCATGTAGAAAACGATGCTCCTGGTTGAAGAAAACAACTACAGCAGGAGTGTGAATTTTGCCACTATCAATTAAAAAACCATGAAACTCTTCCTTTAGAAGTTGATCACCACAGCCTGTGATTCCGACCATAATGTTAGACCCCCATTGGTTGCCAGGGTGAGTACACACAAGAACCAAACTGCTGGTTTTAAAATAATATTAAATGTATACGAAAGTATCAAGAAGGGAAAATAGGTATTGCCAACACATTACTCAGAAATCATGCAGAACAAAAGATAATAAAGCTAGCTTCACTACCTAACACTGTTCTAAGCTGCATTAGGTGGCACAAACCTCAGTTTCAATAGGAAGGGCACAAATTAGTATTGTCTACATCTTTTGCAATTGTGAAGTATAGTGCAGGCCTATAGTCCATGAAAATCTCAGCTAGTTTGGGCCATAATTGAATTATAGTTTTTGGTCCAGCATGTCAGGCGATGGTGATATCCAATCACAATGTGTCTCCAAGTGAAACCTCTGGAAGATGACATCACCTCTCCCTGCCTCCCCCTCCCATCACAGATCACAGGTTTCCATGAGAAACCAATTAACCATCCTCTGTCTTTGGCCTTGAGAATGCTAAGGAGCTTGCAGGCCAGAGAGCCAATTAACAACACCTGCAGGTCAGCCCTGGCCCAACACTGTTCACATAAACTGCTTGGGGGATGTTAAAGAAGACGATTTGCTTCACAGTTATGAATGCTCTTGCAATGGTTATGATTTAACAGTCAACCTGTTTAGCTATGCATACAGGACCTTACAACAACAATATTATAAAAAGGTGAATTAGAGATGAAAATGGCAACTTCTGCAAGACTACTTACTAAGTTAATGGATGCACTGGGATGCTTTCCAAATTTCTATCCATTAAGTCTAACTGGCTAATTAAATGACCAGTCTCATCTCTCCTTCTGAATAAAAAAAAAATGGCTGATGAACACATTGTGTGAAGGTGTATTCTAAAATTATCTGGAACACTGTATTGGACACTTTTTGTAACCTAATGGAGCTTTGGTTTTAAATTATAGGGAAATGAAACTGTTAATGCTAAAAATAATTGATAATAACTATGACCTCACAACATAAAAAGAACAGGAAATCCTGAATTTCTGTTGGCACCTATTTCAACAAAGTCAATTTATACTTAATTATTCACTGGTGGGGTTAGAAAAACATTGTGGAGGAAAAGAAAGATCCTGATCATGAGGCCAATCTTTTTTTAAAAACCACATAATAGGCCCACGCTCACTTTCTGAAAAAAAAAGCTATTTTCAGCATCTCACACTGCTTTCTTTCAGAATTCAAAATTTGCAAAAGCAGATCTCTGTAGAAAGTTAGCTTACAGAAATAAATTGGCCTCTAGTTTTACCATTTCCAAATTTCTTATTGGCCTCAAGAAATGTAGGTGGTAGCCTCAGCCTTTCAGTCATGGTTCCTTTATATCACATACCAGTTTTTAAACAGTAAGGTAGGGAGCCATTGCTGGGCACATAATGGCTGTTTTGCTAGTTCTGACCTTATTACAATTATGCTTATCCAGGACATCCTGGAGGCTAGCTTGAATAACAAAGAATAACTGTTGGTTTTTACCTTTGATATTGCCTTCATTCAAATCCTCATGACAAATACACTTCTGCTCTACATTTTGAATTGGCTTCTTCAAAGCATCTAGCATAGTTTAATAAACATTTTAAAATACATATGATTACTGCATTCACACAAGGTACAAACATTTGTTTGTGAATGGCACAAATCTGACTTGCTGTGCTTGTGTAGAGCACATGATTAGACGTTTCATGGTTATGACAGCCTTAAACTCTAATTTGACATAGCATTCAATGCTCCCAAAACCAGGAAACTTTTGATCATGTTCTTGTGTGTGAGGGGAAGAGGGAGGCAACAAAGCAAGTTCATGCCCATCATATCCAAAATCTACTGAAAGGTTTAGCAAATGTTCCCTCTAAGCTCCACAGTGTTGTCAGCAAAAATTTTACTGCATGAGCGAAAAAAGCTAGTAGCATTAAAGTTGTGACCAAGTCTACATTTGACTATTGCATAAATTAGTTTTTTAGATTATTTCCATAACCTTGTAATAATCTTGGAATTAATTCTTTTAAACTATATTTAAACTATATTTTAAGAATAAGAAAACATTATAAGAGAAAACAAAATCAAGACAAATTTCATTACAGAAAATGTTGTCCTCTAGGGGGGCAGATGAAGCCCCAGAGAACAGGTCTCCCCTCCCCTTTCCACTATATCGGTAGACCTGGCCTCCAGAGAATAGGTCGACCCACCCCTTTTCACTATATTGGTAGACCTGTCCTCCAAGGAACAAATTTACTTGCCCCAGTCCACTATATGGGTAGACATGGCCTCGAACTGTCACCCTGCACTAAGCCTCAGAAAACATACCAGCACTTGGGGGGGGGGGAAACTCTTGCAGTCTACTTTGGTTTTTTTTAGTGAACTATGACAAGTTTACAGGTCAAGTATAACAGAGGTGGAACAAGCACTGTCAGAACCCTACTTAACATAACAAACATGACGTTGCTTAAATGTAATAAACCTGCCCAAACTACTTCTTTATTCAAATATGTATATCCCACTTTTCCTGTGACTCAAGGCAGCTTACAAATCATACTGAAAAGCATAACAGGCATGCAACCTCATCCCCCCATTTTTTCAAGGTCCATTATAGCCTATGGGGCCATTATAGTCAATGGACCCCATAGGCTATAATAGAGAATCGATCCGGGGGTATCTGAGGCTCTGGGGGTGCTGTTTTTTGAGGTAGAGGCACCAAATTTAAAGCATAGCTGCTGGTGCCTCTCCTAAAAAAAAAACCCCTCCAAGTTTCAAAAAGATTGGACCAGGGGATCCAATTCTATGGGCCCTGGAACGAGGTGTGCCCATCCTTCACTGTTTCCAATGCCTTAGTGTGAGCAAAAACTTAAAATGCCTGAGCTGGAGCTAAAATTTTGTGTGCCAGTGCACCCTAGCACAGCTTAGAGGGAACTCTGGTCTAGAGAATCAACAACTGATAATGTGAGTATACACAGCCTCCTATCACCTTACATTATCCATCTCACCAGTCCCTTCCATTGCTTTATGATTCACTGCAACTAGCCACAGTTCCATCACTTTCAGATCCTCCTAATATCCTCTGGTTTCCCATGTTACGTTAAAAAGTATTTTTGCTGCTACTGATATCTTTAAAAGGAATAATGAAAACATAGAACATTTCAGTTCTTCTCTGGTAAGACACTGGTGAAAAGTAAGGATTTCATCTTTGGAGACCAGGAACCAGTGAACTAGGAGTAAACTTTATCCAGCAGAATACAGGCAGCTCATATATATCAGGCCTAATGTTTTTTCTTCAAGGCTTGATGATGATCAATTCAATTAGCTAAGAGTTGGTACATTCAAATAACAACACAGGTTAAAATAAATTACAAGATATTGGAGCAGACACATCAAATACTTTGAGAGTATTTCAGTTACACAAAGATTTCTGCTACATAAAACAACAATGTTCACATAAATGCCCACCACTTTACTGACGTCAGTAATACTGGTACAAAAACGGAGATGTTTTGCATGACAGAAGCACTACATAAATGGAAGCGGCTATTGTTCAACAGCCATTCTAATTTAGCTCTTTTAAGAAACACTACACAAAAATCAATGTTTGCTAAATGGGAAAGAACAAAATCAGTAGGGAAAAGAATTACATTTTCAGGCTTCTAAATGAATATCTGGAAGAGGTGACACACCAACTAGAGGTAGCACTCTTATGCATCGACTAAAGCATGGCAGATTAAAACGAGGAAGTAAGATAAACTACAGCTTGCATCAAGAAGTATAATCAACCAGAAAGAATTCTGGCAAATATGGATTCAAGATTTCCAGATGACCTTAGGAACACACACTTTTTTGTTTCATATGAATCACCACTGCTATACTTTAGCACAGGCAGATCAATTTTTTTAACAAAGCAATTTGTCCTTTAAGTGATGAATTCAAATTATTTTGACCCATATATTCAAAGCACATATAACTTACCTCCAATAATTTTAGACTGGCAATTGATAAATTCTGGTTTTTTGTCTGTTAGGTACCGCTGACAGGTGTGATGGAGAATTTGAAAGAATGTACATTTTTCAGAGGCTGTACTTGCTACCCATTGGTCAAAAGAATTTTCAAATAATAAATCAAATTCTGCGGACTCCTAGAAAGAATAATAATATAATTACTTTAACCTTCTAAACCTGCAGTATCTGCAAAATTTTAATGAAAAAACAATTTCAAAATATTCTGTATATTGTTCGACTATTTCTATACCAAACTTCCAGTACTTTGAATTTTGTATTTACTTTTACGTTCAGTTTGTAACTAAAGTGGTCAAAACTCCAGAAAACACTGAAATTCAGCAACAGATTTGGGAGTGGAGGACTCACTGGGGCCCCCAGACTCTGAAACAGCCGTTTGTCAAGTCAAAATGATGTACTCTTGTCAGCTGCTGTACTCAGAAGCAGGAAGAGGGTCCTACCTGTATACTATAAGAATGTCAACAGTGTGCCCTGCTCTTACTGTTTTCAGGGAGGGTGTATTAAATCTTTGTAGATATATATGGTCAGACTAGAGATGATCAAACACTTGCCCAATCAGATAACTTCTGGTCCACCAGTGGTTATTAGGTAGCTAACTAACTGATGGGCTGTTTGGCTGTTCACAACTTGTTTGTGTGTATTTGCAGGAACAGGTTACTTACTAACCACCTGCTGACGAGAGATCAGCTAGGAGTATGCTTTTGATTTCTTGTGTAGAAAATCTTGTTCTGTGCCCAGTAAAGTATTTTTTTTGGGGGGGGGGATAAGGAGCCAACTCCCAGCATTACTTCCCTTTTGCTTCTGTCCCTGCCCAGCTTGTGCAGGGGGGAACAATTATTTTTTGTGACTTCACTGCTTAGCTATCTTGCTGAAGGGGTGAGGAGGATAAGAAGCAGACTGATTTCCTGATCAGCTTCAAGCTTCTGACCAACTGGCAGCTGCAAACGTGTTTGGTGGCTGTTAGAGTTGCTCAATGCAATCTGAACATATCCCAGATTGGTGTCAAACAAGATAAGCTTGTCTTCTTAACAGGTTCACTGAAAAATTTGTGGCATCCTAGGGCAGACATGATTACCTTTTCAGGGTAACTGTGTTTCCAGCATGGAAAACTTCAAGTGGAACAACCAATAAACACCTGGAACCAGACCAGTATCTTCCAAGTACATGTGCATGTGAGAACAGTGAGAATAATGTATATCTTAAAGGGTTCTGGTTGGTACCTGTTCTATTACGATAATGAGAAACACTTAAGCAGAGAGTTTTCTTGCTCTGGTCATTACATTCCAAAATATAATATGGACAAAGTAGTAACAGAGGTGGTTACAAATGAGAAGCTACTAGTCGCCAACCAATAAAAAATATGGCCCATAAGAAATTGGCAACCGGGATAGGAGGTGAGGTTTTTTTGTCAAGAAAAATTGAAGATTGAGAAATGTAGTGAAATCTAGTAATACAGAGGAAGTATACTGAAAAATTGGAGCAGGTACTTTGGATACTGAAAAACTGAAGGTGATATTCTGAAGTATTTCTATAATTACTTGGGTAGAAAAATTAAACAAGTGATTTTTTTTTTGTAACAGAAACAAGAGAAATTGCAAGGACATAAGATTAATGCTAACCATCATCATCAAACATACACCACAGGAATGAGGAACAAATGACCCCCCCCAGAGGTATAATTATACTCACTCGATGAGGGTCTATACCATTAACCTGGCGAAGTTGTTCAAGCATCCACTGTGACCTTCGAACAAACGATGTAGAACCTTCAAACTGCTTAACTTTTGTAATAGATGCCTGTGCAGGTTTCTTGTTTGTCACTGTATACATAATACAAAGAAGGCCTTGCATAAGCAAACAAAGGGCTCCACAGCTGCACACATGCTTAAACCTGTCTTTGTTACAAAACTGATATTTTCCCAATTCAATACTTAATGACAGACTCCTCCTTCAACATACAGGTAACTGAACGCTTTCAGCATATTTTAGGTAATAGTGGCACAACCAACTGGAACAGTGAGACAAAACACAATCAAAATAGAAAAACAATTAAAAAAATATTTTTAAAAGAATGGCAAAAATGGACCTTAAAGTTCTGATCACTGAAATAATTAAAATTATTTTTCCCCTGAAGAGTTCTGTATAACACGAAAGCTCACTTGAAGAATTCTGAATCTTGGTTGGCCTAATCAAGGATAAAATATAAAATAATGATAAACACTCGCCATGCTGTGCTGGGTAATGAAACATACACATTTCACTAGTGTTTCTTATTCTGTGGAATTAAAACAAAAGAATTTACAGCAAAATCAGCTTTTGCCCAGTCAACATTGTCTGACAGCCCAGACATCTTCCCTTTGGGTTACATTTTTGATGAAGACATCACATTTCCCCAGCCACAGCTCCTTACCATGCTTTGAATTTCACTTACACAAGTCCTCTAAGCTTGTCTCATGCAGTGTGAGGAGAAGAGGGATTCCCAAGCATCCCTCCTATGAAAAGCATTTTGCATGGGCCGTTTGATCTCACCCACGACCATTTTAAAAACTGGACGACTACACTTTCTTTTGTTGTCTGAAGGATTTCATTTCTGTAACACAGCTGTAAAAGTGCATATTATGCAGCACAAGACTGTGTTTTGTTTCAAGGATCTTTGCAGTTTAGGTGGTTCAGTGCCAGCAGTATTTCTACCTACTCCTTTGACCTGTACAGGGTTTCCTTACAGCTTCATATATTCTCTGTACAGTAACCATTTAAAATATTCTATAAAATTAGAAACCCTGCAAGAATTATGAGTACACACTCACTATTATGAACTACTAATGACCAGCATTTACAATGTTATGGGTTTTCTTTTGAAAAAGCTGCCTCTGATACCTATTAAGTGCCCAGCATTTAAAAGAAATAGTGGCATTTCTTCAGCAATGATAATTTAAAAAGAAGCACTTGAAACCACCAAATGCAGTTTCTGTGCAAAAAACTCTGGATTTTCTTCTTCATCCACTTAGGCTACAACAACTGCATCCAAACATGGTTGGATATTGTGATATTCCTTGTGGTAGAGCAATAATCCACAAACTACCCAGCTGCAAATGATTCCTATAGTATAATAATAGAACAATATCCAGCGATGTGTATCTTTTGTATGAAGATATAAATGATATGTTGTCGAAGGCTTTCACGGCCGGAGTTCATTAGTTGCTGTAGATTTTCCGGGATGTGTGACCATGGTCTTGGCATTGTAGAACCTGATGTTTCGTCAGTAACTGTGACTGGCATTCTCAGAGGTATAACACAGAGAGATGGAATACTCTCTGTGTCAAGGTGAGAAGAAAATGGTGGGCAGTAAATTTATATCTACTGCAGAAGGTGGGTAGGGCTGAGTCATTGTCTTGTAGGAGTTCCCCAAGCTATGGTCATGCTAATGGAGGAGCTTTCCTGAGGAGGTTATTACTGAGCCTTTAAAGATGCAGGGGATTCATTTATAGATCTCTTGCTGTCATATTTAGTTTGGCTCTAAGGAAATGAATTGAACAAATAAGATATTCATTGATAAAAGAGAGAGTGAAACATGGGTAAACTTTGGTCCACTGGGAGGTCTAGATGCCAATGCTATGCAACAATGATGTAGTTATCACATGCAAACTGGTACTTTCACTACTCACATTACCTTAAACCTCAAATGGAGATCATAGCAAATTAAATTACAAACAGAAAATGGCTTTTCACAAAGTCTGAGTAACTAACATTACATTCTATGAAGTGCGGATAAGTTAAAACAAAAACTAATTGTAATAGGCCAAATGTTTGTTCCTCAACATCTCTTCCAGTTTTTATTGTGACTCTGACTGTCCTGCAGCACTACCTGTACTATTATTCCTCAGCAATTCCACTACTTCTTCAAAAGGCTAAAATACAGTGCTCATCTAATTTACTTCTTACTGTTTTCTGATCCAAGTGATCTATTACCCGTTCCTTTAATAAAGCGTAAATTAGCCAGAAAGAATAATCTGCTTAAAACTTTCTTCCTGAAGTTCTGTCACATGACACCACAGTTTTGTATTAAATCCAATAAACTTTACTGGCTTATTTTAAAAAGCTGTCTTCATTTTGTCCCGCATGGGCTTCTTGTATTGAAGTTCCAAAGACTATGATAAATTTTCTTACAACAGGGAGAATACTTGCTCAGATGCTTACGTAATCACGCGCTTGTTCAGACAACACAAAAGCCTTTGTGATTCTGCCAACACTGGTTTGGAATTATAAAACAGACCATGTATGCATATGGTCCCTCCTGCTCTTGTATGTGCCCCAATTCAGTCATTTCTTGCCTAGTAAAAACTATAATTTATTGTTATATCTGGATGGATCACATTTCCAAAGAGCCCCATAGCTAACAACTTTTTGCTGCGGGGGGGCCCAATGTTTTTCTCAGGGGGCCTGCCATTATATGTCTGTGCAGTACTGCCATGCCATCCTCATACTTCTAAATAATAACTAACTTAGAAAAGACACCTTTAGACATTTCTCTGCTAGTTTGACATATTTATTGCTTTACAGCTGTTGACCTTATAACCTTAACTTGTTATTTAGTGTCACTTTGCATATCTTGATCATCACCATAGATGGAAGAATTTAGGCAGAGATTTAACCTGGGATCTATGGCATACCATAGAAGTACACCCTCTGAAGCTGCCATTTTCAACAGTAGTCTGGAGATCAGTTGTCATTCCTGCATTTTGACAATCCTACCTATGATTCCAGAGATGGGAGCTCACTCCATCATACAGCAACCTTGCAGTTCAAAAGCAAGAAATTGCAAGTAGATAAATAGGTACCACTTCGGTGGGAAGGTAAGAGCATTCCCTGTGCCTTGGCGTCTAGTCATGCCAGCCACATGACCACGGAAATGTCTTTGGACAGTGCTGGCTCTTTGGCTTGGAAACGGAGATGAGCACCATAACCCTAGAGTCAGATTCGACTAGCTCTCGAGCAAGGGAAACCTTTACCTATGATTCAGGGTAAATTTAAGAGCCTGACTGCTGGATTACCAGATGACACCAAAAGAAAACAGCACATTAACCAAACACCTTTAGGTCTGAGAGAGTCGCTCAACTGATTGCTGTTTAACGAGATGAAGATGGGATGTACTAAAAGGAAGGACAGGGTTGCCCATTGGAAACAATGGGAAACACCTGAAGGCCCATTGGAAATAATGGGAGCCAGAAATGCCAATTGACTTGCATGGGCTCCATTGAAATACATTACAGTATAAGTAGAGTTGCAATAAAAATGTGGAATGGATTTTCCATTAGGGTCTCTGGGCCAAAATAGACTACTCTGGGACTGGAATGACAGGCCCCAGCTTGGAATGACAGATCCTAGGAGTAACAGAAGTCTTCTGGGACTGGGATGAGAGGCCCCAGAGTGGAATGACAGCCCTAGGGGGTAGCAGAAGCATTCTGGGACTGGAATGAGAGACCATGGAGTGGAATGACAGCCCCTGGGGGTAGCGGCAGTGTTCTGTGACTAGAATGGCAGTTCCCAGAGAGGAATGACCGCCCCTGGATGTAGTAGGAGTGGTCTGGGACAAAGAATGAGGATCATGTGAATAAGTAACAAGTCTCAGTTTGCTTTCATATTTAAATTTGGGAATGGCTTTTGGATGACTACAATAACAGGTCAGGGTCATTATGGGGGGGGATCATTACAGAATGGTCAGTGCTGCATTGGAAACAAATCAGCTGACATTTGTTGATAGTATATGCCATTCTCCTATACAAAGCTATTAGTTTAAAAAAATTATAAGAAAAATAGTGTAGCAGGAAGGAAACCTCTCCATCTTCTTCCTCCCGTAAGAACCAACATGCTGTATTGGATAAAGACTAAGATATGGGAAATCCAGGTTCGAAATTAGAGAGTCACTTTTTTATAGCTGGGGTGCAGTAAGCCTCTGCCTTGAAAGCTTGTTGGGTAACCTTAGATCAGTCATACACACTCAGCCTAACATACCTCACAGGTTTGTTGTGAGGATTTAAAAAAGTGAATTATATAAGCCTCTTTGGGTCACCATTAGGTAAACAGGTGGGATACAAATAACTAAATAAAATAAAAAATAGTTATTGTAGTTACCCTACTTTTATGACTTACTATCTCAGTACACTTCAGAGGGGGAGACCTTTCCTCCTGCCACTTGGGAGAGATGGGTTGTTCTGTACCTGAACAGATCTGCTAATGATTACTGCCATATCAATGATAGCTGGACCCCCTTCCTTAAAAAATCACAACATATTTTGAAAGCGCTTTAAATATTTTTATATGATGAATTTATTTTACAACTTTAACAATGTTTTACAACTTTAACAATGTTTTTGACAAAAATAGTATTAAAAAACCAAAACAAAATAAAACTGGGAGCAGCATTTTTGAGTGTCTAGACCCTTGGACAGGAGTGGACAGGAATGGGTGAATTTAACTCAGAAGACCATTATATCTACTACTGTGGCCAGGAATCTCGTAGAAAAAATGGTGTGGCCTTTATAGTCAACAAGAGAGTGCAAAAGGCAGTACTGGGATACAATCTCAAAAATGACAGAATGAATTCGGTCCGATTCCAAGGCAAACCATTCACAATCACAGTAATCCAAGTTTATGCCCCAACCACTGATGCAGAAGAGGCTGAAGTGGACCGGTTCTATGAAGACCTACAACACCTCATAGAACTAACACCAAAAAATGATGTCCTCATCATCATAGGGGACTGAAATGCTAAAGTAGGAAGTCAAAAGGTAACCGGAATAACAGACAAGTTTGGCCTTGG